CAAATCAAAACTGATGAGTCATCAAAACATTCACCCCCCGTACAGTGTGTGTCCATCCAGACATGAGCTAATCACACCTATTTGGTTTTTTGAACCAGGCTGTAAACATGTTCATCTCTGCTGTAAAAACAGGCTTTTTAGAATGGGTGTGTATGTGACTTCCTGTGCTTCTGCAGCCAGCCTCTAGTGGACACTCCAGGAACTGCAGGATTTTACACTTCAGCATCATCTTGTGGAGAAACAGACAAACAGCACATGGGAACATTACAGCCCTGATATAACTGTTTTTTTTCTGTGTTTCCTGTGTGTTTATTGTCATGGTAACCGATAATCTCTTAATTGACTTATATGATTATGAACCCACTCACAACACCTTCTCCAAGTGTGTGTGTGTGTGTGTGTGTGTGTGTGTGTGTGTGTGTGTGTGTGTGTGTGTGTGTGTGTGTGTGTGTGTGTGTGTGTGTGTGTGTGAGAACAGGTTACATGTTCACAGTTATTTCTGGTGGCTCTCGGCTCGTTTCTTTTCATCGCTCTGAATCCTCCTGACTGCCAAACCTCTGAGGAGAAAACGTTGCTTTTAACTCTCCTCTGGCTCGTGTTGGTGTCGTGATGCAGAAGGAGAGAGCTCCAACGTTATCCAACAGCAGCTAATGAGCTGCTACTAAAGGAGCAGTATGTAACTCTGCCCCCCTAGTGTTTAAAATGGGTACTGCAAATTCTAAATTCTAAACATCATAGAGAGCTGTCCCCCCCCCCCTCCTCTCTAGAGTGGATGCTCACACAGGTCACCATGTGGTGGACTCTGAAGCTTCAGTGTTTATCCAGCTCTGCATGGGTCTGTAAACCTTTCTGTGTTCTAACCTCTCTCCATTTTTCAAAAGCATCTCCAATATTGATCCTAGTTTGAGCACGTTTCTGCTCGTGGAGCTTATTAGAAACATGCAGAGGCTTTTTAGGTCGGGTACAATCACTTCTATCTGAACCACTTCTCTTGACCGCTTCCATCACTGCAACACCTGTTGACCTGATAACTGTTGTTTACATTGTGACTCATTGTTGTTTACTTCCTGACTCATCGTTGTTTACATCATGACTAATTGTTGTTTACATCATGACTCATCGTTGTTTACTTCATGACTCATTGTTGTTTACAATGTTACTCATTGTTGTTTACTTCCTGACTCATCGTTGTTTACATCATGACTTATTGTTGTTTACATCATGACTCATCGTTGTTTACTTCATGACTCATTGTTGTTTACATCATGACTCATTGTTGTTTACATCATGACTCATCGTTGTTTACTTCCTGACTCATGGTTGTTTACATCATGACTCGTCGTTGTTTACTTCCTGACTCGTCGTTGTTTACTTCCTGACTCATTGTTGTTTACATCGTGACTCATTGTTGTTTACTTCCTGACTCATCGTTGTTTACATCATGACTCATTGTTGTTTACTTCATGACTCATCGTTGTTTACATCATGACTCATTGTTGTTTACATCATGACTCATTGTTGTTTACATCATGACTCATCGTTGTTTACATCATGACTCATTGTTGTTTACTTCCTGACTCATTGTTGTTTACATCGTGACTCATTGTTGTTTACATCATGACTCATTGTTGTTTACTTCCTGACTCATTGTTGTTTACATCGTGACTCATTGTTGTTTACATCATGACTCATTGTTGTTTACTTCCTGACTCATCGTTGTTTACATCATGACTCATCGTTGTTTACTTCCTGACTCATCGTTGTTTACATCATGACTCATTGTTGTTTACATTATGACTCATCGTTGTTTACATCATGACTCATTGTTGTTTACATTATGACTCATCGTTGTTTACATCATGACTCATTGTTGTTTACTTCCTGACTCATTGTTGTTTACTTCCTGACTCATTGTTGTTTACATCATGACTCATTGTTGTTTACTTCCTGACTCATCGTTGTTTACATCATGACTCATCGTTGTTTACTTCCTGACTCATCGTTGTTTACATCATGACTCATTGTTGTTTACATTATGACTCATCGTTGTTTACATCATGACTCATCGTTGTTTACATTATGACTCATTGTTGTTTACATTATGACTCATTGTTGTTTACATTATGACTCATTGTTGTTTACATCATGACTCATTGTTGTTTACTTCCTGACTCATTGTTGTTTACTTCCTGACTCATCGTTGTTTACATCATGACTCATCGTTGTTTACTTCCTGACTCATTGTTGTTTACATCATGACTCATTGTTGTTTACATTATGACTCATTGTTGTTTACATTATGACTCATTGTTGTTTACATCATGACTCATCGTTGTTTACATTATGACTCATTGTTGTTTACATTATGACTCATTGTTGTTTACATTATGACTCATCGTTGTTTACATCATGACTCATTGTTGTTTACATCATGACTCATTGTTGTTTACTTCCTGACTCATTGTTGTTTACTTCCTGTGGGTTTCTGTTTGTCTTTCAGGGTTCGATTCCTACTTCACCTCGAGGACTCTGGAGAACAATCGCAGGAACGTCTGGTTCGCTGAGTACTGGGAGGAGAACTTCAACTGCAAACTGATGAGCTCCTCCAAGAGGGACGAGAGCAGCAGGAAGTGCACAGGTACAGGTGTTCATGCACCACAGAATACACACCTACACACGCCCGCGCCCGCACGCGCCCGCACGCGCCCGCACGCGCCCGCACACGATTACAAAGAACAGATTCCCTCACAGCGAGCTGACATCATGGCGTGCTGATGAGCATCATCATCATGGCGTGCTGATGAGCATCATCATCATGGCGTGCTGATGAGCATCATCATCATGGCGTGCTGATGAGCATCATCATCATGGCGTGCTGATGAGCATCATCATCATGGCGTGCTGATGAGCATCATCATCATGGCGTGCTGATGAGCATCATCATCATGGCGTGCTGATGAGCATCATCATCATGGCGTGCTGATGAGCATCATCATGGCGTGCTGATGAGCATCATCATGGCGTGCTGATGAGCATCGTCGTGAACACTAATGATCCTGTTACATTATCGAGCCACACGACTCAACATCTCATCGCCCGTCTCTTTAATAAGGAATTATTTAGGGTTGCAGAGCCGTGATTGGCTGGTGAACAGTCCAGGGTTTAACCCCGCCTCTCGACCAATCACAGCTGGGGTCACCTCCAGCCCCCGCGACCCCCTAACGGGACAAGCGGTATAGATCAGGATAGTTCAGTCGTGTTTGTGCACCTTGCGTTCTCTTTGCTGTGATTGGTCGATTTGTTTCCATGTTGTTTGGTCTTCGTTGTCGTTTCCTCTCCTCGTCCTCATTCTGGATTTATTTTAATTTGTTCGTCATCCTTTTTTGTACTTTTTGTTTCTTTGTCTTCTTCATTTCTTTTGTTCTCGTCTTGAATCTTCTTGTTTTCTTCTTCCAGTTTGATCTCGTTTTATAATCGAGTCTTTACCCTCAGGATTTAGCTCTTTAGCTCTTTAAAGTTGTTTCTTCTCTTTCTCGTTTCTTTGAGTTGTTTGGCCTCTCTCAGCCTCTGTAGTTTACTTTTTGAGCGTCTTTGTGACATTTTGTTTCTGTCAGAGTCTCTGAGCTGAAGAGAGACGCAGAATGAAGGACGTCAATAAAAACCACGTTAGTGTTGGACGGAAGCGGCAGGAACTCCATGTTCAAATCATCATCAGGACGATTCCACTTTGACTCTGAGCCGTCCCGTCACACGGAGGCACGAGGGCGCCGTGTTGCTCCCGACCAGCTCTGGTTCAGTTTCTCTTCCTCGTCATTAAACTCGACACTGAAACACAAACGTCCCCACGCCACGGCTTGTCAGAGGGCGCCGTCTCCTCACCGCTCGCCATCATCCCACACAGCTTCCCTCAACTTTAGAGTGTTCTGATTGGATATTAACTCGGGGGAGGGGTTTCCTCATCCCAGGCACACACACACACACACACACACACACACACACACACACACACACACACACACACACACACATACACACACACACACACACACACACACACACACACACACACACACACATGGAAGCTCGTTGTACATGAAACCATATGTTGAGAGTTGTTGCGTTCTTTAATTGTTCTTGGAGTCGATCAGCTGTTCTCTGACGCTTCATGTTTGTCTGTGAAATGAGCGATATGATGACATCACGACTTTTATCTGCATCCAAACAACATCGAGCGTGACTGATGGCTGCTGCCAGAGCGGCGTCGTCCTGCAGCAGCTTTCAGAACAGCTGATCGAAGCTCACACACACACACACACACACACACACACACACACACATTTATAAGACCTCTGTTACGCCTGTCGTCTTTAGCTTTATGAAACGCTTGTGAAGATGGTGGACTGTGACTTCAAGGTGCCACCAGCTCATCCTGCTCAGGGTTATCCCAGCATGCACTTGGGGAGAGGAGGGGTGCTCCACAGGGGGCGACACACCTACAGCGCCGCCTGCAGCCGCCGCTTCACCTGTGAACGAGTCAGTCTGTGATGTGGGTTAGCTAACAGTGACTGCAGACACACAGGAACATCCAGGTTTGACACTTACTCATTTTAAAGTGACGGCTGGCCTCCTCTACACCGGGCGGCGATCTGGCCCCATGCAGCGTCTTCTCATTGGACCGTCTTCTGATGGAGCGTCACAAACCATCACTTCAGTATATTCTCGTCCTCCAGCTGACTCAACGTGTCCCGCGTCTCCTCGTCTGGTTCTCGCTCTGACACGCTCCATGTTGGTAGCTTCCTCTAGTTTTTCTTCTCGTCTTTCCTCTTCACATTTATTCTGTTCCACGGGTCAGAGCCCCGGCCCGGGAGGAGGAGCCTGTGTTTGACGACGCACATGGCTTGGTTTCAGAGCGCTTCTCAAAGGCGCTCATTGTTGCAAGGTAACAAATCTACCCTCACCTTCTCTTAGGCGTAACCGTTAGCTGTGTTTTAGCTTCGTATGCTTAATGTTTGACTTTATTTATGGAAATATCACCAAAAAAACATCAGCAGCAGCTCCACTCCTCAAACTCCAAAACACCAGAAGTCTCTTTCCTGACAGCAGTCCTGCTTCTTCTTGATCTTCCAGGTGGTTTAGTTCCTGTGGGGTGGGAGCGAGTCTTCAGGCAGTGTGAGAGGACGGGGGACGGGGATGAGGAACGAGGGAGGCTGGGGGCCGTGTGGAGCAGCGACTCGACTTTGAAGCTGAGATAAAATGATGCTGACGGGGTCGGGTGGGCGTCGTGTTTGGGGCGAGTTAAAGAGAGAGAGGAGACTCAGGGACTCCAGTTTAACTGATAACATTGAGCTCGGGGTCCCTCGGCCCCAGGCGGGGACACAGAGACAGGTTACAGAGTAGGCTCCGCCCCCTGAGGCTCCTCTAAAGAGAAACAGGAAGTGGAACACATGGCAGCAGTAATGACTGGTCTCTAAGCGAGCTGGTCGGGATGATCTGAAAACAGTCTGTTTGAATGAAAACAGAGGTGAACAGAGCAGCAGGCGGAGGTCAGAACAGAGGTTTTCTTCAGCAGATGGTCGGTCTGTTATTCAGGAAAACACAGAGCGGAAAGTAAAGACACACCGTGGGGAAGAGGGATCAGAACATCTGCTTCTGCTCGCCATCCAGACTGTGTGTGTGAGCTGAATGTTTAGAGGACAGTGAAGTGTCGTCAGGAGGTTTTTATAAACTCACATCCAGCTCACTGGGAGTCAAAGTCTTCATCCTGCAGTGGAGCTGGGATCAGAGACTTCATGAAGACTCCAGTAATTAGTCTGGCCCCACCATGTTGGAGGGTGACCAGGCGTCTGCAGTAAAATATATTCATCACTTGCCCTACAAATGAAGACAGTCCTAGTCTAGTTTTCAAAGTGCAGGAATCAAGAGAACCATGACCTGTTCCAGCTGTCAATCAATCAGCACACACCTGGGGTCAAAGCCTCGCCAACCCGTCACCATCCTCGTTGCCTACATTACGCCCCACCGCCACAAAACAAAAACTCAAAGTACCAGGATGCACTCATTGGTGGAATACGATGAAAACTAGGACAAAGAAATGAGACGAAGCTACAGCAGAGACTGGGAACGTTTTATCTCCCGGGTGAAGACAGTGGAGGGCGACTCAGAGTTTTATTTTTGTAATCACACGTGTAGGAGAACACGACCTGAAGCGACACTCTGCATGTGAGACTCACATGAAACGTCTGAGATGTGGATCTATGGAAACATGTAGTCCTGAAACCAGAAGAAGATTGGCCAACAGAGAAGGTGACAGCAGCTGGAATAACGAGAGGTCAACACACTGAGCAGCACTCACACAGGGCACCACTCTGTGGCTCCGCCCACTTTCAAACACTCAGAGATAATATCCTGTAACTGTAGTTCCAGATGTGCTTCACCTGAGTCTGTGGAGATATGAACATCCTGCAGAGCGAGTGTGACCAACCCGTGGTGAAGCGTTGTACACGTTCATGAGCTGGTTTTAGAAGTGTTTGTTTTCAGGGTTATTTGGACTCTGGATGTGTGAGGCTGGGCATGATACTGGTTTGGTTCTAACAGGCTCCTGCAGTCATGCTATTAGCAGCCTTGCTAGCTGTGCTGCTCCCCGGCCTGTGTTACAGAGAGTTTAGTGTGTGTGTTTCCACTCGTCCTCAGCCAACCTGCCTTCTTCCTTTCTATTTCCTCTCATTATTTATTTATGACTTTGCACACCAAAGACAAATAAGGAACTCAACAAACACGGCGTCGGCTCTGCGTCTTCGTTTATTCCTCCTCTGTTTTCCTGTTTGTTCGGGGCTGTTTTCATTCCACCTGTGTGACAGAGGGTGAAGGTTTGAATTGAATGTTAATGCAGCTTGTTTCACATCCACAACAGCCTCCTTTAATATCTGATGTTTTTCTGAGAACAATCCAAAGAATCGTCTGCTGTCGTCTTCCATCTTCATGAGTGGAACAACAAGAAGTTGTGATTATTTTTATTTGACTCATAAACTTAATCATGTTTATTTCTTATTCAGGCGACTGTGGCTCCATTAGATCGAAATAAATGTGGGGAAAGTCTCTTTGGTATCTCAGAACGAGGATTTAATCTTTAATCAGTGCTTTCACAACAATTTATTCTAAGAAAATATTCAGAATGACTTCAACAGATTCTCCTGCTTTGTTGATTTATAATATACATAATGATTTTAAAATTAGAATTGAATTGAAATTCTTTAACAAACAAACATGATCAAAAAGCAGAGATAACTACAGTTCCTCCAGTGTCCACTAGAGTCTGTCTCCTGCGGTGAGTCAGTCCTCATAGAGCTCTATGTTAAAATGTCTAACTTTACAGCTGCAGTTCCTCCAGTGTCCACTAGAGTCTGTCTCCTTCAGTGAGTCAGTCCCCATAGAGCTCTATGTTAAAATGTCCAACTTTACAGCTGCAGTTCCTCCAGTGTCCACTAGAGTCTGTCTCCTGCAGTGAGTCAGTCCTCATAGAGCCCTCCAGAAAACCAACATGGCAGCTCTGCAGGATGAACATCTCTCCTTTAAACCCTCTGTGAGTCTCTGCTCTGCATTCAAGGTTGACCTCATTTCATTCACACGTTCCTCCACACGCACACACACACACACACACACACACACACACACACACACACACACACACACACACACACACACACACACACACACACACACACACACACACACACACACACACACACACACATACAATGGCGTCTTTGTTCGAAGCT